TTTTTTTTTTTTTTTTTTTTTGGTCTATTGGCTCGAAGCAAACGTATTGGCTGGCAGCTGCCATGTGGCCCCTCCTGTAGGAGGAGGTTGACATTTGCAAGACCAGGCAGTAGGGAAGCTTGAGGAAGGAAAGCCACTTAGAGCAGGGCTGAGAAAAGGGTCCCTTTCCTTGTGTGCTGCTTAGTATAGCAAGGGTCCAAGACTAACATAAGGATCCTGCCATTTCTGATGTTGAAATCCAGTTAAAGAATGTTCTAATAAATCTGCCTGCTTTTAGCAAGAAGGCAAAAGCTTCCCAAACGGAATGTCTTTGCAACCTGATTTCCTTCTTTGAAGCCCAAATATAGAGTCAACTTCAACACCTCTCCTGGAATGCCAGCCTCAGGTCTCTTGAGCTTTAATGTTGCCTTTCATCTGAGAAGCCTAACGTATTTGACAAACATTAGCTTCTTGATCTTCATATCATCCTCCCAGGAGGAGGGAATGTTAGAAGAAAGAACAACTCAGAACATCAGCAGGGCAGGTGTGTAGTATGTGTTCTTGAAGCATGCATTGTCATGCCAAGAACTGGTTGACCTGCATGTAGTTTGCACACAGACCAGGAGGTCAGGGAGAGAAAGCCCAGGGAAAATGCAGATCTGGCTGGGATTTTTACAGGGGGAAGGAAGAGGAAGTCCATGTTGCCCAGACTGGCCATGCCTTTGCCATACATTTCGTGCATGCTGATTATGAAAATAAATAATCTCTGAATTATTTATAATTCTGAATGAAAGGATATGATGCAATACTTGTGGATAAGAATTACAGTTGCTGAAGATAAAAGGTAATGGGGACTATAAGTACCTTTCTGTGGCATAGGGGTGGTTATGCGTCTAGGTTGGATTATAAATGGCGTATTAACATTGTTTTAATTTCCTTTCCCTTTTTCCTGTTGGTTCTATATTCCTTGGCTTGGTTTTGTCTCGCTCTCCCGTCAAGCTTTTGTTTGGCTTGCTTCATGGTCCTCGCTATCGGAAAAAACATATTGTGGCCATTCTTAGATCAATCTTGTGTGTAAAATTTGATATGCGGCTGATTTAGCTTAGTTCCTTAGGGGACTAAATTAGGCTTATAATTGGCTTGACCCAGAGGCCTATTGCATATCCTGTAACTCTAGGCGGCCATCCCATAAATGCTTGATGTCGGTCAACAGGGAGGTGTCCTGGGAGAAAA